CCTAACGACTCTCATCTCTAACTTCAATCAAATCCGGATTTTTCTCAGACGGATAGAAGTCATCAGGAGACCGAACTGAGTGCTAGTCGACACAAAGCGATCTGGATATCAATGAGGAGGCGGTCCGACGAGTGTCTGCGGGTTGCTGATCGAATAAGGTGCCCGTTCCGTTTGAAGATGCATTGATTTTACTGTGACGGCAGTATTGGCGTTATCCGATTCGGGGGGGGGGGGGCGCAGAGAAGAAGTGGCTTCGGGCCTGTGCCTGTTTACAGCGGCAAGGAGTATGCTCTGATGAGCCTTTGCTGACCATGCATGGGTTGGTGCTGGCAGCCTGGGAGGATGCGATGCAACTACGACTGACTTGTGCGTGTGTGGCATGTGGAAGGGGCGGGCGAAAAAAAGAAGTCGGCGCGTCAAAGCCAAGCCTCCTGTACAGACACGGACGTCTCCATGTCACACCACGCTTCTCTTGCAGACGGACATGAGTCCTACTTTGAAGACCTGTGTTCCTGCACTTGCTGCACTGCTTGCTCTGACGGCTCTCGCCTCGGCCAGCAAGCCTGTCCCGCCTAGCTTCCCGCGCCAGTTCTCATCGTCACTTGTGATGATGGCTGGCAGCACCGGGGGCGTGGGCAACTTGTACGTGCACAGCAGGTGGGGAATCGCATCGGGACAGAGCATGTGGTGTGATGGTGAGGAAAGGTAGAGGTGTGATCGGTTGTGGGTGTGGGTGTGGTTGTGGTTAGGGAGGGAGGAAGGCTGTGGTGCTCACGGACGTACGTGGGGACGGGACGGGTGGCTGCGGGGGTGGGTGCGGCACTTGACGGTTTTGATGTAGGCACTGGGATATGGACACGCTGCAGATCCGGCTGGATTTTTCAACGACGGCGTTAACCATGTCGCACATTGCCAACTATACTTCGGACGGCACGACCATGGGCATGGAGATGGTGATGGTTTCCTCGCCAGAGACTGGCAACAACATCGTGTGCAACTCGCAGCCGGCCGACGGTGCGCTGGTGAAGTCCCCGCTGGCGGATGCCAAGCTTATCGGCGTTGCCTCGTGGTACGGGCAGGACACGTACGAGTGGTTTTTCTCGGAGGAGGACGTCGCGACAACGGTGTATACCTCGGTGGACAACGCGCAGATCCTCGGCATCTCGTCGTACAACTTGACGGCAAACGAGAACATCAGCCGCATCTCGTTCCTCTTCCAGACTGACACCGTGGCGCCGGGCACCTTTATCGCACCGACGACGTGCTACTCGGTCAGCGAAGGTGCCGAGCTCGGCCTCGCCGGCGATGCGGCGGCTGCCAAGTCGAAGAGCGCGTCCGTGACCCGGGCGGTCTCGTCGCTTCTCGCGTATGTCCTCTGAAATGTCCGAGTGTTGAAACAGCCCACCATAGCTACCTGGCGACTGCATATATGTAGTCGCCAGGTAGCAGTGGCATGCTGTTGTTAGTGTCTTGAAAGCTTAAACAAGGCGATTTTGGATGATGTGCCACAGCGAAGCCTGTGGCTGCTCGGCTGTTGCCACGTGCGAGGTGGGCGAGTCCCCAAGTCACGCGCGCCGTCGCGCGTTGGCTCACGCCATTGATTGGCGGCTGGCGACGGCCAGCGCCAGCGGCGGCAACCAAGTTTGAGTACCACACCTCGCTCACCATGTCCACAGAGGTGGGCAATGGCAACGGCATGAGCGACGCTCAGCCGCTGCTGGCAAGCGTAGACTCGGTCGGTGCCGCTGGTACGGTTGAGTGAGGGTGGAGGGCGATGCGTGTGACCCGGCCCTGAGGAGGGGGTGGTCCTCGACTCCTCGTGTGGTTGCTCTGATTTCACTGTGGCCACCGCGAGCATGTCACGAGGGACATGATGCTAGTTGGGGAGGGGGGAGGGAGAGGGGGAAGGGGGAGGGGGTGGGGGAAGGGGGAGAGGATGGGAAGAGAGGGAGGACTCACAGAAGAGTTGCAGAGGCTTCGTCCAAGGCGAGCACCAAGACGCTCCTCTCTGTCTTCTTCTCGTTGGTCTTGTCGGCGTCGTACAACAAGGTCTTTGCCAAGCTCGCGACGCTGTACATGCAGCGGTATCCGCTGTTCATCACGCTGTACATCACCTTTGCCTACATTCCGCTCACCATTCTCTACGTCATCTTCAACAGAAAGGCCATCACAGCCGAGATGTGGGCGGTGCCCAAGTGGAAGTTTGCTGTCATGGGCGGGCTCGACTCGATGGCTGGCATCGCACAGGGCTTTGCCACCAACTTTATCGAGTCGGGCGCGCTGATTGTGCTCCTCCAGCAGGCGGCCATTCCCATCTCGATGATCATCTCCAAGCTCATGCTCGGTGCCAAGTACAAGATGCGGCATTACATCGGAGCGACGGTTGTGGGCGCAGGACTCTTGATTGTCCTCCTTCCAACCTTTCTCCAGCCCACCGGAGGCGCGCCGGTCCTCTGGGTCATTGTCATGCTCTTCTCGTGCGTGCCGATGGCGCTAAGCGCTTGCTTCAAGGAGCTGGCCCTTGGCGACGCCGACATGGATGTGGTGTACATGAACGGGTGGATTTCGCTCTTCCAGTTTACCCTGGCGCCGTTTGGCCTCGTTCTTGCCGGCCTCGCCTCACACATTCCGCCAAAGGACCTCCCGCGCAACTTTTGGCGCGGCCTTCGGTGCTCGGGCGGGCACAACTCTGTGCTCCACGCCGACGAGCACTACGAGGCGGACGACTGCGAAAAGGCCCCCTTTTTTGTGAACGGCTACTTGCTCGGCAATCTGGTCATGAACGTCATGATGCTCTCGCTGGTGCAGGTCGGCAATGCCAACCTGCTCTGGCTCGCCATGACCATTGTCCTGCCCATCTCGAGCTTTGTCTTTGCACTCCCGTTTGTGCCCGGCCACAAGCCTGTCAAGGCCACCGACGGCATCGGCCTCGTCGTCATCATGGCCGGCCTCTTCATCTACCGGCTCCTCGGTCCTGTCCTCGAGTGGCGGGCCAAGCGGAACGGCACGTACGTCGCGCTCGACGACGACGACACCGACGCTTCGTCCGACGTCCTCCCGCAGACCGAGTCGCAGGCGCGCGCCATTGCCGATGCCGCCTCGACCTCGGACTGGACCTCGACGCCGCGCCTCTCAGTCACGCCCTCGATCTCCTTTACGGGCTCCAGCCTCGAAGTCGGCCTCGCCACGGGCGTCATTGACCGCCGCCTCCGCCTCCGCAAGTCAGCCGAGGCCCTCAAGCTTCATCGCTCGCCGCTCCAGATCCGCGGCAGCTACTTTTCTCGCCTCGGCATTCCCGCCCCGCGGCCGATGGAGACCATTCAGCGCCAGGCTCCTTGAGGTAAAGACCTGCCGCCGACCTTGCCGACTCGGTCACATGCACACCTTCGCCTCTTTACTTGCCCTTTCCCTTACTCCCATACACCCAGTCCCCAAACGACGAGGCAAAGAGCGCGCGATCCGCGTCGGTCATCGAGTCTGCTGCCGGGAACTCGATGTCAAAGGTGACAATGAGGTTGCCGCGCCGGCCGGACCGAGAGCCGACAATGGGAAAGCCCTTTTTCTTGAACGTCTTCTTCGACTTGGGCGAGACAACCTTGCCCGGCGGAATGGTGAACTCGAGGTCCGAGCCGTCGATGTGACGCAGCGTGACCGTAGTACCCAGCAGCGCGTCGTGAAGCGTGATCGGGACCGAGGTGTGTAGATGGGCGCCAGCACGCTCGAATCGCGGGTGCTTCTTCTCCTTGACGTTAAAGACAATGCGGCCGTCGGGCGACTCGATGGACTCGCCCTCGCGGATGCCGGCCGGCACATCGAGAATAACCACCTTTTGCCCGCTGCCGGTATTGACGTACACCTTTTTGTCGCCGCCCTTGTAGATCTCTCGCAGCGAGAGCTCCACTGTAGCCTCCTGCTTGCGCATGCCGCCGCCGCCGCCGCCGCCGCCGAACCCGCCGCCAAACATGTCACCAAAGTTGAAGCCGCCGCCGCCAAACTCAAAGTTAAAGCCGCCGCCACCACCGCCGCCACCGCCGCCGGGCGATCCACCATTGTTCATCCGGTCGATGCCCTCCTCGCCGTGGCGATCGTACACCTCGCGGAGCTCCGGATCCGACAGCACCTCGTAGGCCTTTGAGATCTCGCGGAACTTCTCCTCGGCATTTTCCTTGGGCAGCTTGGAGCGATCCGGATGGTGCTTGCGTGCTGCTGCGCGGAAGGCCTTCTTGATGACTCTCTCGGGCGAGTCGCGCGGAATGCCAAGGATCTTGTAGTAGTCCTTGCCGGCCTCGGCCACCTCAACAGCCACCACCGCCAGGAGGACGACCACCGCAAACGCCAATCCTAGCCGCATTACCACGACGTTAACCTGTCCACGCTCTTGCTCACTGTGCCACCGACTTACGTCGCTGTTGGTCAAGTCTTACCCCTCCCCACCCTTGCCGCCAGCGAACACTGCCGCACGCTGCTGAGCTCACTCTCATCCGGTGAGGTCAGCGGGAAGCGGCGGGCTGTCCCGGCCGACACCCATCGATTAATTGAACGTTGGCCATTGATTATCTGCCACCTCCTTCCGTCCCCTTTCCATGGCCATTGTTCATGAAGTCAGGCATATCCCCCTTGATGGCCCCGTCCCTGTCCCTCCGCCCTCCCCGTAGCCCCCCATGGCTTTGCAGCAGCGGATCGACTGCTGTTGCGCATCATCCATGCATCTGATAATACTGGTTCTTCCACCCGGCGTTGTTGTATGTGAAGGAAGGGGGAAGGGAGGGCAGGGGGGTAGGGGAGGGGCATGGGAGCATGGGTGTG